AATTTTTTTTTTTTTTTACAAACCACCATATGAACTATACGGATTTGTCAATATGCCCCCTAAACCGGATATAAAAGTGGTTTAGGGGGCACATTGACAAACCCGTGCTAGTTCATATGGTGGTTTGTAAAAGTATTTAGGGGGCACATATGGAGACCAAACATCTTTTTCAGTCAAAACCACTTTTATATCCGGATTAGGGGCATATTGACAACCCCATATAGTTCATATGGTGGTTTGTAAAAAAAAAATAGTTTATATGGTTATGCGCCAAAACCGTGATAGTTCGGATGGGAAAAAGTATTTTACCCTAAAAAAATACATCACGAATGTGTACATGCCACATAAGCGATTGACATATTAATATGTGTCCACTATGGGTAAGGAGCATTACTGTAAGTAATTATTGGTGACAATCCAAATGGGACTTTAAGATTTTTGTTTGATAAGGTACTCTAAAAATATTTTAGACATTTCAAATATGAATTATGATTGTTGCATTCAGCAAATTATTTTGGCATTTAAATTGAAAAAAAAATGATATTCACTTACATCACTATAGCCGATCTTTTAAGAATTTGTATATGATTAAATTACTTACTTTTGAAGCATAAGGATCTTAATATTAAGTTCCCATTGATTGTTTGATTTATTTTGAATTTAAGAGGGGTAATGTTTACAAATTAGTGAGAATCCCGTGCGATGCACGGGGATTTCGTTGTGTAAAATATTTTTGCAAAACTTTATTTTAACAATGTATTATCCCGTTGATCCGTCTATATTAATATAAAAATATTTTAACATATATATTTATTTTTTAATACAAAAAAATAATAATTTTACATATTTTGGTTCATCATAATACTCAAATATCATTTTATTAAAAAATTTATTGTTGTATAATGTCAATATTATTTATAACATTTATAGAAGTAATATTTCTTTTTTATATAATGATAAAGATTTAATGTAAATTAATATTATTTATTGATGCGATTAATTTAAAAATATATAAGTAAATCTAATGTTTGTTAGGAATGTGATAGATCTCGATATTTTAGGTACAAATATATGATATATATGTACAAATATATGATATGAATATCTTGAGATACAAAAGAGATTTTATGTGATTTATTATCTTAATTAATTCGACGTAATTACCTTAATTGTATCTTTAAACCATACAATAAAATATTAAATAGTTTCCAAAATTAGTAAACAATATTTTTTGGCGATACATAGTTACTATTTAAAAATTTATAGTATGAGTCCCGTGCAGCGCACGGGTAAGAGATACTAATATTTATAAATTAAAAGTTCTTAGTAAGCAATATTTATAAATTAAAAAAAAAATATATAGAATCAGTGTGTAATACAATTACATATTCTAATTTATTGAAAATGTTATATAAAGTTTAAATTGTACAAAATTACATAAAAATGTCTATTTAAAATTAGTACACAACCCGTGTGGTGCATTTAACCGATAATAAATCACATTATATTCGTTTCAAAATAAGTATCACTTCAAAAATTTTATTCAGAAATTCGATTTGACTATAATGTGATTACATAAAATAGTTATTTCGGTAAATTGTTATCATATATTTAACAACCTATGCGGGTAATAAGTATAAATATAAGATTTTTATTGTTTCGTTACTTAAAATAATTTATTTTTTATAAAACTATTTAAATACAAAAATTTAATAGTTGAGTAATATACTAAACTATAAATAATTGACTATTTCGTTTACGTCCAAGTTACTATTGACCCGTAAGTTAGTTGAGTAATTTTAAATTATAAATAATTGGCTATTTTGTTTATGTCCAAATT